TTAATAGTTTTCTTCCTCCCTTGTTCTAAAAGTACAACACAAAGCAAACGTCACAAATTGTACTAATAAATTAAATAAAAAATATCGCAATAAATATATGATAGTGCCATGTAGTTTTATAGTGTATTGTTATATTTTTTAATATGCTTACAAGACGCAAAAAGATTAGGTATGTTAGAAATAGACAAGATAGTATTAAGGTTAATGGGACGGGGGGTTTTAGATGGAAGTTGCTCATATGAAGTAGGTTGTTTCAGACAGTTGAAGAGGATGGGATCTGTGGTACCTTTTTCGATTCCGCACTCGCACGTGGAACTATCTAATGTACGGATCTTTGAAACTAAGACCGGTGAATAAAGTAACTTATAAGATACCAACGAGCGCTGAAGTTGACAGATTTATTTCTAATTTCCTAGGAAAATGCAAGCAAAGAAAAAACTATTTGTTTGCGTACTCCAGTTACGAGTGCAACCGGTGACATCTAGTATAAAATAGTTGAACTTGATATACGAGATCATCTAGCTAGTACATCTGGAGCATGTTAGATGGCCCAAAGGGTATCTTGACATTTTATTCATAAACATCGATGTTTGGCACGAAAACATCGATGTGCCGATGTTATCCAATTTAAAACATCGATGATAAAACACCAATGTTTATTCAACATCGATGAATATCGATCATCCCTAGAGTAAATTGAAATAATAATTTAAAAGAGAAATTGAAGTCGTAGTGCGTATTTTTTACGTTTTTTATTTTCCTCTGCTCTGGTTTTCTTTAAAAAGTGAGCTACAAGTGGTGCGTAGTGCCACAATGTACTAATACTTCTATAAATAACAAACAAACTTCGAGTCTAGAAGAAAATAGATGCACAATCACAATAGTATCAGTAGCTATATAGAGTAGAGATGGGTGATAAAATTAGGTAAGGATTCGCTAAAAGTATTGAAACTTTTTTATTTCATATCGATACATTTGAAGGTTTTCTTTTTGGTTTTTTTCTTTGTCATTAACATTTTACGACTCATTTATATTTGTTGACAGGGCTCGCACTTTACAGTCTGTCGACCTACAGATGGTTGAGACATTAGTACGAAAAAGAATATTCTATTTTTTTACACATAGTATGTCTGTCCACTAAATACATGGCATTTGATCATTAGATAGACACCGATGATTTTTTAAATTAGTTTTTAACTTGGAGAACACTATATATCATCAAAATCGACTGTGTAATTTTGAATTATTATATTAAAGTTCAAGAAACGAGAAAATCATGTAAGTTGCTCTTTTTTTAAATTGCTGGCGTTTTCCTTATTTCTTGGATTTTTTAAAAAGCTTAGTAATGATTCTTTTTTTGAGCAGTTCTTATCAGTAGAAGCGGCATAGTATTCTGTTATCAGTAAATTACTATAAAGTACTCGATACCTACAGGCATCGATATTTGATGTATCTTTCTATCACTACTTTGACATGACAGCTGATGACGTCACAGGCCAGTAAACTGATTCATGATTGGTTGTGACGACGACCAATTATAGGACGTTTTCGTCGTTGAATAAATTCCTATTTTTAGTGCATTTTCTTTACGTTATTTTACTAAATCTAAACATGTTTTTTCTGTAGATGTTAAGAAAGTGAGAACGCGAACTTGTGGCTCGATGTCCTTTTTAAGTACGCGTATTTATGACGACACACAAGCGAAAAAGTCTTCGAGCCACAAGTTCACGTTTGGAAGGAATGAAATATTTTTATTTTACTTAATGTAATATGTCATGAAAAAATGGTCTCGAAATATCTTAATTCCCTAATGGCAGGGTTTAGATAAAATAATCATAATTCGTTTTTTTTCCAGTCGGGACAATCTGATTCAAAAAGTGATGCATTTACCATGCCTTCTACACCTTCAACATCTCGTCGTAGGTTGTGCGATAGACTTGCTATGGTAACAATCAAATAGTATTTATTGTCATCAAAACTGTACTTTTTTAGTCACATATAAATTAAATTTAAAAATAACATAATGTTGTTTTATTTTTATCTGAGACTGACAATTACATCTGAGAATATAAGAGAAGAATGTGATATGTAAATCAGTAAATTGGCTTAATGGTGAAATATTTACTGGGTGCTTATTCCATTTCAATTCAGTCGGAAGGAAGGTAAGCTGACAATCGTAGTCTGCAGTCTAGTAGTTCACTTTGCATATTAGATCTACTCCGTGCTTTGGAAGGCACGTTAAGCAGTTTGTCCCGATTGTATCTGCAGTTGTAAATCCCCTCCAATCCGGAATGGACCCATTGTGGGTACATTAATAGGCTGGTGATTATTAAGAAGAGTTTTTTGCCAACTCTAATTCCCACACTGCTAAGTTTTAATCAAACTCAAAAATTGATATTTTTTTATTTGAGAACCCCCTAACGAGATTCATTAAATACTATTATACGTACGACATAGTAAGGATAGCAAACCTTTTTTAAATTTCCTCATTTGAACCCCGAAAATAACCCTTATTTATAAAAACAAATTTATTTATTTTCTATATCCGCGTTTAGGTCAAAGGATGACATATTTTACAAGATTTGGTCCAGTAGATTCGGAAAAAAGGCATTTTGTACGGAACTTTAATAAAGTCAATTTCATATTTGACGGAGTATCTAGATTAGATCTATTAATATCATGTGTAAACTTTACATCTACCTAGGAAAATTTGATACTTTTTTGCCTTAATGTTCTACTCTTTAAACTTGTCTCCTTTATTTTGTAGTTGTGTGGACACCCTATTAGAAAGAGAGGAGGGGGACCTAAGGAATGAAATAGAAAACATTCAAGGTCAAAATTTTATGCTTCAAGTAGGTATGGAGGAGTTTGGTCTCCAGTTATTTCTTTAGCTTCATGATTATATGGATATGGCATACCTACGAAAAAAACGTGTATACCTATTAAGTATTTAGGCAACTAAACATGGCGGCTTAGTGTTGCATACTTTTCGATTTTACCGTTTGTCTGTCGATAAAACTATCGATGAATTTTATTGAGTTCATACTGAAAGTCCACTTTGACATCACCTTAGTCACGGTTAAAGGTTTTGATATTATATTCAAACAAAAAACTTACATTTGTATTGAAAACAGGCAGTATAGAGATAGGTAATGCAAAGGTGGGAAATAAGCGATCTCTCCCAGTTAACTCAGATTCCATACGATTAAGAAGTATTGTCTTGTTATTTTGAGTCTTGTTATTTATTGCACTAATCAATAGCATAATTTCAGATGAAATTTCTCTAATAAATATCTTAGACTTATTTAAAGAAATTTCAAAGTGTAACCTAACATTTATTTTTCATATAATTCCATACGGAGTACAAGTAAATATGAATGAAAATTTTATAAAATCTTTGATTACAGTGTTTGTTCTACGATTTATAAAATAAAGAGATAATTTATAAATTGTAGAACAATCACTAACTTTTAGTAGAGGATCTAGTTAAAAAAAAATTAAGGCAGGTTCCTTTCAGGGCCAAAACATTTTATATATATTTAAATATGACATGTTCAATGCAAATATTGAAAGGGATATTATTTGGAATAACTATCGCAATAATAAAAAGAAAACTCATTTGTACATCATGTATTTATTTACTAACATTGATTTGCATTTCAGTATTACAAATTTTTCACTTATTCATTTCTAAAAACAACAATTTTATTGAGATAATTTCTAAACGAAATTTTTTCTGTTGATTTTTTACCGAAATATTTAAATCTTATATCAATGTATGTTTTAATCACAGATTTAATAAGTAAATATTTATGACTTTCATCGTGATCATTTGAACTAGTGTTAAAACATTGTTTATTTTCTCCATAATGTTCTATGAGAAAAGAGAAAATATACAAATAATATTTGTCATAATTTGTTTTTTGAAAATTAACTTTTAAAATTTTCTCTGTCTTTTTACAAAGATCATCAACGTCTTTGGATGGATAAACGAGGCCCCCTCGTGTTTTACTAATTATTAATGATTGTTTTTTTATATCAACAATTTTCACATTTGATAGCGCGGGATAATTTTCTGGCTACAAAACCTGCAATATACGTGACAACATTTTCTGCATAATTCGAGATGTTAATATTAAGGCAGTCTAAGTATTCTTCAAATAAACTGCTATCATCCTCCGGTACCTCTATAAAGGACTTTTTATTTGTTAAGTCATTTATATTTGTAACGGGATCAATCCTGCTTGAACACGTTAAAATATTTACCTGTTCAAGAGGAATGCAATTGCCTAAACCTCCATCGCGAATTTCAGCTCTAATCAAGAGACGTTTGAATGCAGCTCTAAACTGAATGGCATTTGGATTATTATTGAAACCACCACGGGCTCTAATTGCAGAAAAGAATAGCTCGACATGATCCTGACTTACTTTGTAAACAGGAAAATACATCAACAGTTTAGTTTCTATAACTAAGTATTGATAAACATCTAAAGCACACATTATAAGTCCAATAAAGCCAGTTCTTCGTTCCGATTCTACAACTAAATGTCCAGTTGAGAACATTAAACCGTTTATGTAACTGATGGCCCCTTCAAAAAGAGCCTGAATTAAGCCAATATTTTTGGGGCACATAGCTTTTTTCCAACCTGGTGGTCTAACAGAGCAGCTATTTAGAACATCAAACACGTCGTTTATAAGTCGTAAGAAATGTACAGTTCCGTCACAGTCTTCAAAATCAGGAAGTTTCAATTCGTTGCTACAAAAATCTAACGCATCTGCCACGGAACTACTAAGCATTTGAGTTGCCAAACGAACTTTCATTTTTTGTTTGGCAAAGTATACATGAGCTTTTGTAATTTTTGTACCCATATGCAAACCTTCGCTTTCCTGTAATTTTAGCAATCGTTCTAATAAAGCGAACTCTACTTTACGACCAAACATATCATAAAATAATTGAAGTTCACCAAAGGTGTTTCGGATCAGTTTAACTGGCTTTAACTTTAACTTTTTAACAAGCCTTTGGCTTTACTAATCTGTCTTAGTAGTAGGTCTTTTGGCCCAGCGCACTGTTCTAGAAGCAAACAATTTTCATGTGTCATCAGTTCTTTTTCTTTGAGTTCCTTGATGACTTCTTTTAATGTTGTTATTTTATTTTTTTGCCGACGAACAGTTTCATTCAAGCATTTTATTTTCTTTTTGTAATCATTAACTTTTTCTTGCAATCTGTTTAATTTCTTAACTGCTTTAACCTGTAAAGAACATACATTTTAATTAATATTATATGTGATGTATATGCTGATCTCAATTTAGACCAACTTATATCTTAAAAGGTAACGTTACTGTCTAGATTAACAGCTCAGTCAAGTACCGAGAAAAAGTCTACACTAAAATTAAATTATGTACCAGGTTAACTCACCAATTCAAGGTTTTGTTCACTACATGACTCAACATTATGATCTTTTACTTTAGGAGCAGCTTGATGTGCGGTTAAAGGTTGCTGAAATGAGATAAATTACCACTTTTAGTTCATAATATTCCCTATAATTTAATTAACTCTTTAAACAACCATGGTCATTTTGAGCAATTTACTCTATTATGTATTTAAGATTTGTATCTAAACATATATTATTAACATTTAATTCTTACCTGTAAAAACAGAGCAGGTACTGCGTCATCTTTTAATCGACTAACATCCAGTGTCCTATTAAATGAGCTTTCATGAAAATGTAAAGAACATATTAAAATTTGTTTTATATCTAATCTTATATTTTCCTTGCCAATGACCTCTAACCAAATTTCTTTCTTTTGTTCATTTTGAGGCAGTCTGTAAACATAAAAAAGGTACTTCATATTGTCAATAAATGTTAAATTAACTTTTATTTTCTGAAAGATCCTATTCTACTTCATTTTACATAGCATGGATATGGTTAAGCAATTTTACTCTGTCTTTGTAAAAAGACAGAGTAAAATTGCTTGAAATTGATTGTTAACAAATCAATTTCAAGCAATTTGTATTTCTAAATATTAAAAAAAATATTATAAAAACTTATTTCACTGTGTATGTTCTTTTAAACTACACAACGGATTACAACACAGTTTTCATAACTTTAGATAATAATATAAAAATTCTTTCAAGCTTTCGATATCGTAGCCGACTTTCGCACTCTAGATTATTGCTTGTATGCAAATGTCGGATTTAAATGTGAATAAATCAAACAGAAGAAACAGTTTCATAGATTTTCAATGTCGAATATAAATATTTTAAGTAAATTTGTCAAAAAATACTGAAGTCGCACAGAAATCTATCGATAAATGGAACTATACAACCAGTACATCACTTATCCAAAACAAATAGAATATAAACAAAACCAAACGCAATAATTTTTAAGAAAATTAAACTTTAAAATGTTTTATCTACTTTTTTTACCACTAGCTGCAGATTTAAAAGTCCAATAACAACAGTAAAACCAAAGTAAAACACATATACTTAACTTACCGGTGAAAGGTTAAATTTGGCCGAGTTCGGCTTGATCTTACACCACAGCTTTTTATACTGCACTTAGCAGGCATTTCAGTATCGTTTTTTCACTTTATTTCGCACAATCACTTCACAATCTTTAGAAAATGTAATTTTATTAATATCGAAGTCGTAAACAAGCGCAACATAAGATGGCGGATGGATGGCACAGGTGTGACGTCACGACAAATGTTGCCGGTATAACGAAACTGATATTTATAGCGTTGTTTCATTATTAATGTATATATTAGACAAAGACGCCATCATGTTCATTACTTCCTCTTCTAAACTATAACATAACTATAAATCTATATGTTGAATGTAACAATTTCATGTATGATACTTATTCAGAGATTCATGACGTTAAACCATAGAGATTTTTTTTTGGTAGATTTTTTCCTTAAAGGAAAGGCGAAGAGAGCTTAGCCCATACAGCCATTGTCTGTTGTACAAAATTTTTCTTCGATATCATAGGAAAAAATAGGCCGTAGCCATGTCTTTGATAATAAACAGCGATATGAAGAATAAAAGCCATGAAGGCCTTGTTTATACTGTAAAAGTAAAATCAGAGTATAATGTCACAAATCGAGTTAAAAGTCAGATCAAAATATTTCACCTTTTGTCCGTTATGTCATAATTTAAATTTTATATATCTCCGATAGTTGATACAACATAGTCGTAAATAGGTTTAAAACAACGTGGATTATTCAATAATTGCTGGAGGGTGCGCGGGATATTTTCAGGTTTATGATAAATCTCCAGAAGGCGATCTATGAAAAGAATCCTAGCGAGAGCAAAATGACTACATTCAAAGAAAAGGTGATCCAAAATTTGACTACTTGAATTGCAATAATTGCAGATAGGTGACGACACTATATTTATTTTATGAAGGTGAGCATTAAAACGACAATGTCCAAGCCTGAGACGAGAAATTATAGTATAATATTTTCTACCACTATAATGGGTTCCCAAGGAGAACCAAGGTTTTGTGATATTTTTGTTAAACCATAGAGATTAGAAATGTCAGTGTTGTTATGGATCGATAAATCCGACTAATATCGAGTTGAAATTCATTTATTTTGAGTTGCGCAAACGCAACTCGATTAATACGAACTAATCCTTGAATAAATTTATTATTTATTTACATAATGGAAGCGAGCATAGAAAAAGATTTTTAAAAGTTATGTAAATGAATAGAATTAATATTGTGAAATTATGAAAAAATGAAGAAAAACTGCAAGAAGTTTCAACACATAGTAACGAGATGACTCTTAATTAAAATATTACAAGCCATTAAGAACAAAGGAAACCTACATCGCTCATAATGAGTTTCACTATCAATTCGCATAAATAAAACGTCCAACCTACATCGATTGGGCCGCGGTCCCCAGGCTAATAGCAAAAAGGAAAAAGTACATAAAGAAAACGAATTGTTTATTGAGTTTTCAAAATTAATTTACTTTTATGCATGAAAGAAAACCGGAAGTGTTGTCATGGAAATATCAAGTAAGTACCGTAGCGACATCTAGTTTGATTTTGGAAACAAGTGTATTTTTTTAAATATTTCCTCATTGGCTCATGTTCTTTATTTTCAGATTCGTTTATCTTTTTAAATTCATACATAGTTATTTAGTTTCTTTATGTGGCTTCAAAGTTGTGGCGACTGATACATAGCGACATCTAATTCATCGCAGTAACATCGCCACAACAATCGATAGCGAGAAGACTAGCATCGTCACAGCCATCGATAGCAAGACAAACTGCAATAAGTTTCAACAGCAAGTAACGAGATGGCGCTGTACCAATACAAACAGCATAAATTAATAACTACAAGGCATTTAGGACAAAGAAACCTACATCGCACAGAATAAGTTTCATTACCAATTAACATAAATAGAACGTCCAACCTACATCGGTTGGACCGCGGTCCCCGGGCTAACAACACCTAGCTCGGAGGGAGACAATTATCCTTTAGTCTCCCTGACCAGTTGTCTCCATCACCACAGTAGGGACCAACCTACAACCAGCAAGCCAGCCAACACCAAGGTCCATCACAGCAGCATCGACGACGCTTCCTGGATGCTTGGTACCACTCGACGGCATCATCCCGACCGGTCCTCGCATCCCACGACCGGACCTCAGTTCACACACAACTCACCGGCGTGGCAGCCCTGCACACCAGCAGCTTCGGTCCCGACGTCACAACCTGGCACTTGCAAGCTCGGAAGCACTGACTGCATACCACCTACTATCAACATGGATCGACCTTCGGTCTAGGGGGAAAGTACTGTGGCGACTGATACATAGCGACATCTAATTCATCGCAGTAACATCGCCACAACAATCGATAGCGAGAAGACTAGCATCGTCACAGCCATCGATAGCAAGACAAACTGCAATAAGTTTCAACAGCAAGTAACGAGATGGCGCTGTACCAATACAAACAGCATAAATTAATAACTACAAGGCATTTAGAACAAAGAAACCTACATCGCACAGAATAAGTTTCATTACCAATTAACATAAATAGAACGTCCAACCTACATCGGTTGGACCGCGGTCCCCGGGCTAACAACACCTAGCTCGGAGGGAGACAATTATCCTTTAGTCTCCCTGACCAGTTGTCTCCGTCACCAAATTAGGGACCCAACCTTCAACCTTAAGGTTCCTAAAAAGTCAAAGTCAAATTGAAAATAATCTTTATTCAAATAGACTTCTTAAAAGTACTTTTGAATCGTCCAACCTTTTTTTTCCCTACCACTCGCTCAGGACTTCTTTTGGCTGATAAGAAGAACGAGCAAGAAACTCACCAGCTCTAATAAGAGTAATGACATTTACAAAAACCATGTCATTACCAGATCAATACATTATGAACAGAGAAAGAAAAAAAAGCTATGGTTTTATAATGATAACATAATCATTTAATAAAAATGGAAACAAGATAATGAGTTTAGAAGTAATCACCTATCCAGTTACTGGATCATCTCAAGTCCAAGCGTTCTTATCCGTTATATAATCGGATACCTTATTATAAGCTTTTTTAATAAGTATTTTTTTAATAGTAGATTTAAACTGCATGATATCTAATTGTTGTATTTTGCTTGGGACCTTATTGTAGAAGCGCACACAAAGATCCTTGAATGAGTTATTAACTTTTTGCAGTCTAGTGACAGGAACCGTTAATTTATTTTTATTTCTTGTATTAAAATTGTGTACATCACTTTTTATAGAAAACAAACTAATATTTTTACGAACGTACATTAAGTTCTTGTATATGTATTGAGAAGCAACAGTCATAATGTCTATTTCCTTAAATTTCTCCCTTAAAGAGTCCCTAATCTTAAGATTATAAATTGATCTAATTGCTCTTTTCTCTAGCACAAAAATTGTTTGTATGTCGTCAGCATTTTCCCACAATAGGATTCCGTACGACATTAAACTATGAAAGAACTGAAGTATACTAATCTGGCAGTATCTATGTCAGTTAATCTACGTATTTTCATTACGGCATATGCTGCAGAGCTAAGTCTACTTGAAAATTTATCAATATGTGGGCCCGTAGTTTAGAATCTAATGTTATATCTAAAAATACTATAGTATCCACGAGACCCATGCTCTTATCTTTCATATTAACATTTATATCTACTTGTTTAACATAAGGTAGTACAAATTTTAAGCATTTTGTTTTTCCTTTATTAAGGAGAAGATTATTTACATTAAACCAATATACTACTTTAGCGATAGAATTGTTCACATCGTCATTTAGAGGTAACCCTCTTTTAATTTTAAACAAAAGTGAAGTGTCATCCGCAAACAAAACTATTTCGTGATCATCCCTTACGAAATAAGGCAAGTCATTTATGTAAATCAAAACCAAGAAAGGACCAAGTATTGTGCCCTGCGGAACACCCATTTTAACTTTCCATCCAGGGGATCATTTGTCATTGATATCTACCCTCTGTACTCTGTCAGTCAAGTATGAGACAATAAAATCCAATGAGTTATCTCTAAATCCATAAAAAATCAGTTTCCTTATCAATGTTTCATGAAAAACACAATCAAATGCTTTAGATAGGTCACAGATAACACCAAACGCATCATATAAATCCTCCCAATCATTAAAAATTTCTTGTATTAACTCGACACCGGCTTCGGTTGTTGAGCGACCCCTTGTAAAACCAAATCGTTGTCGAATGAATAGAAATTTGTATTGGAAGGATGAAAACTCATATATAGTTGTTACATCATCATCATTTTATACTTTGAACGATGTCAGCAGTATATATAATAAATAGAATAGGACCAAGTATAGAACCCTGGGGTACACCTTTAG